ATGGCGTGATCCTCCAGGAAGCACTTCAACTGGGACTCGACTATTTTCTCCAGTACTTTAGAAACAAATGGGAGTTTGGAGACAGGCCGGTAGTTGGAAACGACTGAGGGGTCAAGGTTTGTTTTTTTTCAGGAGAGGCTGGACAGCAGCATGTTTAAAGGATTTTGGCACCACGCCTGTGGATAAACTACTGTTTACTATGGCAAGAATGGACGGACCTAGAGTTGGAAACACCTCCTTTAGTAGTCGAGGGGGGACCACATCAAAGAGGGAGCCAGAAGGTTTCAAGTTGCACATGACCTGCTCTAGAGAAGATAGAGTGATGGGTTCAAAATGGTCAAAAGGAGCTACAGATTGAGGTGGGATGGATGGGTCATGAGTTGGAGGGGAAATGAGAGCCCTGGTGGTCGCAATTTATTCCGAAAAGAAATGTAAGAAGTTGTCGCACAGCTCAGTCGAGGCTTCCAGAGGTGATGGTTCAGTGAGGTGGAGAGTAATTGAGTTTTGAGTAATCAACAAGGCTGAGAGTTTTTAAAGGCCTCAGGAATCTTTTGCAGGTGTTTAGAGTTACGTCGTTGATTCAGATGGTTAGGTTAATAGCTTGTTTAGAGAACCTTTTCATGATATGCTAATTTTTTGGACAGGCATTTTGGGTTTTCATGAGCTGTATGCCATAATCATCAGTATTAAAACAATTAAAGACCTGAAATATTTCAGTTGGTGTGCAATGAATCTGAAATAGATGAAAGTTTAATTTTTATCATTATATTATGGAAAATAATGACCTTTATCACAATATGCTAATTTTTTGAGAAGGACCTGTAAGTCCCCGGGGCTCAATGGGATTAACCTGTCTAAATAAAAGTTGAATGAATGAATGAACAGTAGTAGTCAAGTCATTTGGAAGTTCTTTTTTAACCACACAGAGCCTATAACAGCTCCTCTCTGAATTTCTCACAACATTCTTCCTTCTTCAGCTTCCACCATTTGATCTTCTCTGATTTTACTCTTTTTCTCTTCTTCACAACAAGTCATTCTACACACAACCATCCGATGCTGTCTGGTCACGCTCTCTCCTGCCACAACCTTACAGTCTCCAATCTCCCTCAGGTTTCCTCTTCTACACAGAATGTAGTCGACATGCTTACTCCTGCCTCCACTCTTATAGGTCACTCTATGTTCCTCCCTCTTGTGGAAAAATGTGTTGACTACAGCCATTTCCATTCTCTTGGCAAAATCCACCTCCATCTGGCCTTCCAGGTTTCTTTCCTTGACAACAAACCTACCCATCACTTCCTCATCGCCTCTGTTTCCTTCACCAACATGTCCATTCAGGTCTGCTTCGATCACCACTTTCTTCTCCCTGGGAATACTCTCTATCACTTCATCCAGATCCTTTCAAAAATGATCTTTCTCCTCCACACCACATCCAACCTGTGGAGCATAACCACTGACAATGTTTAGCATCAGACCTTTCAGCTTCCTTCAGCTCCTTTCTGCTAAATTTGGCTATTTTTTGTTTTATAGCTACAAGGTAAATTTTAACGTTTTTACTTCTATTTTGTTGTTGGTGTTTATTTAATGTGTTGCTTTGTTGCCTTTCGTACTTCTTTCAACCATTTTATGCTAATTTGAACCTTTATTTATTTTCAGCTACCCCCCCAATTTCAGCTTATTTGCCTTTTCAGCTCCTTTTTGTTAATGTCATCTTTTTTTCTGCTCATTTCAGATTTTTTTTGGTAATCTATTCAGCCTCTCTGTCTATTTCTGCCAATTTCAGCTCTATTAATTTTTATAACATATCTTAGTTCTTGAGGTGAGTTGGAGACACCCATGACAACTCTATTTGAGAGAATTTTGTCACACAAATTTCTTGAACATGTTCAAAACTCATGCAACCTGACTGCGAGCCTCTGATTCCACAGCGGGAAGTTACAAACATTTTGAGACGTTTTAGAGACGCCTTTGTGAATGCCGTTCACTGGGCTGTGTCATTACCAGTACTAAGATAATGATGTTACTACTTACAGGTGTTGCACTGCAGTCGATTCTGAGGTCAAAACAGGTGGGTTCACACAGAGACTATTGGACACTTCCATCATTCACAGGTGGACCCTATTTAACTAATTATGTGGCATATGACTGGGGCTTTAAAGCTATGGGTGAATATATATGCAATATATATGGTTTTATGTATTTTTTAGAAATAATCATTAATCTGGAATATTTCACATAAGTGCATCATTTTTAATCAAATTAAAAATCTATTTAAATTACAGACTGTAGGGCAGCAATAAAGAAAGTGTACTTGTGGGTGGGCACTTTTCCAACCCCCTTGTTTTTGTATTAAATTGGTAAATTGTCAGTTTTGTAACTCCTTGAACCTGACCTGTAATTATTCACTGTTTAAACCGGACCGTCGACACATTCTGGCAGTAGGAACTGGAGCAGTGTTTGTGACTGGACCCACCTTGTGTAGTCCATGATGGTGTTGAGGCGATGAGCTATAGTGAGGACGGTGCAGTCTTCAAACTGGGAGCGTATTGTGGACTGGATCAGGTTGTCTGTCTCCATGTCTACAGCAGCAGTGGCTTCATCTAGTACCAGGACCTTTGTCTTCCTCAGAAGAGCTCGAGCCAGACACAGCAGCTGCCGCTGACCCACACTGAGGGAACACAAATTCTTCAAACAAACAGGCTTACCATCACTCAGATTATTAACTCTTCAGTCCAAATCCAAAAAAGTTCAATCTGGTCCTCTGGACATTCAAAAAAATCAAAAAACAAAAAGCAAAAAAATGTAAACGTTTCATCTCTCATCCGAGAAACTTCCTCAGTCTGAGGAAAAACGAAAAGTTTCTACATTTTTTTGCTCTGTTTTGTTTTTTTGAATGTCCAGAGGACCAGATTGAACTTTTTTGGATTTTTCTATCTGGATTATTGAGCATGCATCACGATATCTTGAGTCCAAACACTCAGGATTCAGTTGTTAGAGCAGACTTTCAAGTTTGACTGAAAATTTGAAAGTGAAAACCTTGAAATTGAGTTGTTGTGGTGGCGCACAGAAAGTGCAGCAGCTTCTCATGCTCCTGGGTTTAAGCCTTATTTTACGTCCTACGAGGCTGTTTTAGGCACTGGTTCAGTGCTGGATTCACAGCTCAGGTACAGCTCAACCAAGCTGATAGTCATCAGAGACAGTTCAGTTGAGTTCTGAAATCCGCACTCGGCAGACAGCAGCTCCTGAGGACAACGGAATGGCGTAGCAGTATGGTGCAGTGAGGGTGAGGAGCAACGGTCAGGAGGAGGAGGGGGAAGTGAGGGGTGTGCTGGCCCTGGCTAGAAAGAACCACTGATTCCTACTCTCTTTCTGACCAATGTCTGCTCACTGGATAACAAAGTGGACTTTCAGCCGGTCAAAGCAGATGGCCGCTTGTCCTGAGCCTGGTTCTGCTGGAGGTTTCTTCCTTTTAAAAGGGAGTTTTTCCTTTCCACTGTTACCACTGTGCTTGCTCAGGATGGGAGACTGCAACAAAGCCAAGATTCAACTTGTCTGCTGGCCTCCTTAGATAGAGAACTTTACTAATTGGCTTTTATGTATGTGAATATTTCTGTTAAGTGCCCTGAGACAACTTCGTTGTGATTTGGCGCTATATAAATAAACCGAACTGAACTGAACTTGATACATCGGAGCATGAGTGTTTCTACAGAGATGAAGAACTATGCTGTTCTTTGCCTAACGGAAACCTGGCTTAACAACAACATGCCGGACTCAGCCTTCCAGATCAACGGTCTTCAGTTATTCCGAGCAGATTGTGACCATTGGTCGGGAATAACACTGGGGGGGGGGGGGGGGGGGGGACTTTGTGTGTTCATGAATGAAGGAAGTTGCAGTGAGCTGGACTTGGAGCTCTGTCCTGAGGAGCTATTGTTGTGTGGGAGAGCGTTCTCTGCACCTGCATCACCTTGTGGCACGGCAGAGGGAGGCTGCAACTGTGGGGAGCAGCTTTCCCACGACCTCGGACATCATGATGCAGGGGGAAGGCGCTCCGCATCATGGAGGACTCCACTCATCCTGCACAGTCTGTTCCAGCCCCCCCCTCCCCTCAAACAGGCGGCTGAGGAGCATTCAGAGCAGCTGTCAGACTGCTGAACTCAAGCTGCACTTAATTCAGCCTCATCTTATATTTTTTTTAACTTTATATACACGCGCACGCACGTGTATGTATATGTGTATATGTATGTATATTTATACTCTTGTATTTATTTGTTAGTTGTTAGGCTTCTTGATTTTGGACCTGAGTCTGAATTTCGTACCATAAACATGCAAATGTAACTGGTATGACAATAAAAAAAAATCCTTGAATCCTCTACGATTGTTGACAAAAAAAGTTTTGTGAATGCAGTGCTTCAGCGATGATCATGTTCACAATCAATTATGAAAAGTTTTGTCACAAGATTTTGTGACGTTTAGGTAAATGTGGATTTTGGTGTTGTGTGGAGTTGTGTTTAAAGCAGCTGTACCTGAGATTCTCTCCTCCTTCACTACACTCATGGCTGAGTTGGCCAGGCAGACCTGACACAAAGCTCTTGAGATGAGAGAACTCCAGAGCTTTCCATATGTCCTCATCAGAATAAAAGTCAAACGGATCCAAGTTCATCCTCAAAGAGCCTGAGAACAGCACGGGGTCCTGAGGACAGAAAGGACACTCAGGTCAGTGCAAAATGTTCTGTAAAGCAGAGGTCACTGACAATGTTCCCTCTAATTTTTCATGCGTTTGGGCAAGCACACAAGTTCCCCGAGTGCACTGAGGACCACTGTGAGCAACAACAGATGTGAACGCTGTGGTCTCACACAAGTACCACACCTGTTCAAAACCTGGGATCATAGCAAGTTACATGACTTATTAAAATAATCAAATTACAGCAGCAATTTCCATTAGTTTACTTTTAATAGAAGTGATATGGCCCATTTCAAATGAAAAATACAATAATCTTGTTATGTGTAGTATGTTAAATGTGAGGGTCCTGCTTTGGAAGATGTTTAACAACGTGGTGGCCATTGGCATCAGAACCATTTGTAATGTGGGGGTGACACACTGGTGGGGGAGGTCTGGGAGTCTTCCCCCAGAAAATTTTGAATAAAGTAGATGCCATTTCCTGCATTCTGCTGTATTTTAACTGGTTGTTTAACATCTAGTTTTACCTACACAAGTAACACTTGATTCAATAAATATTTTAGAGTTAATAGTACAACAAGAAGTAGCCTGACCAACAGCTCTCCTTGTGTGAATAGCATGCATCCTAGCCACAGTCTAAGAAAAACAATGTAGCCTAAGTTAAGTTTTAGGAAAAAATCATTATGAAATGATAATAATAATAATCACTCCTTACTAATGGTCTATCATAAAGCAATATGATTATCATCCATCATGTTTATTAATAACTTAAAATACCTAATTAAAACTCCAGTAGTGGGCTAGGTCTGCTGTAACCTTACCCAGTTGCAGGTATGCAGGCACTCAGGTATGAACAACATTCAGGAATTGTTTCTACAAGAACATTATCAAATATTTTACGTGAACAGTATGATTGCTTCGCCCACACATCAACTCTACAGTTTTCGGGCAGACGGATTTCAGAAGGTTTCTCCAATATTGTAGAGATTTTTAGCTTTAGCAATTAAAAGGGAACACTCAAAAGATGCTTCTGTGGCTCTGTGCAAATCACTACCTGCTCTTCAAAGGCTTTCTGATGTCGACTGCTTGTTCCTCAAAGTAATCCTGACTTTCACCATCACCAATAGTAATAACAACGCCTGTTCTAAACTAGGGAAAAATGTTCTTGTGTTGTTAGACAAATGATTCCTTTGTGTGTTTTTACACATTTAAACATTCACAACTGCATATGCTTACGTTTATGTTATATATTTAATAAACGTGAGCTTAACCAAGAGCAACGATAACTCCCTGCCTCTGTTCTGTTCAGCCACCATACATGTGATGGTAGCGTACATTTAGTTAATACGCATGCGCGTGCAATGCGCAGTTTGCAATAAGCCCATTACGTGCAGAGGAGCCGTCTGATCATCCTACACTGCAACATACAACCAAAAAAGTAAGTCAGATAAATTGTTTTGGTGCAAAGTACACATGGTATTATTGTGTATTTACACAATTTACAGTGTGCAATGCATTTTCTGAACCATAAGTAAATAGTTTTGGTGACGTTTTGCATGTAATATGTGCGTGACTTCAGGTGGAGCGAAAACTCAGTTTGTTTACGTGCGAACAGTGCAAGCGAAGTTAGTCCGAGCTTTGTGAATTTAATTTAAACAATATAAGGACAATATAATCATTCTGCTGCATGCTGCAGACAAGGGAGGGATGGAGGACGAGCTGAAGAAGTGGCTGCGGATTACTTCTACAAGCATATTTAGCTTCATCTACTAGCATATCATGGTGAAGCAATGAACAACCTGAAAACAACCTGAAAAGGCTGAATGCAGAGGTGCACACCGTGCTGGAAGCCAGGAACATTGCCTTCAGGTCTGGAAACTCAGAGGAGCTGAGTAGGACAAGAAAAGAGCTGGTTGCTGGTATTAAGAAGGCCAAGGGCAAATATGCACAGAGGATCGAGGGTCAATTCATCTCACAAGACCCTCGGAGCATGTGGAGGGGCATTAAGTGCATAACAGATTATAAAGGAAGAAGCGAACAATGCCCCAAAGACCCATCTCTGCCTGATGCCCTCAACAAGTTCTATACATGCTTTGAAGACCCGAACAGACCACCCAGCACCAGACTCACCTCACCACCGGATGAAGAGCATCTCAGCGTGACCTCAGCCAAAGTAAGGAGTACTTTCAGGAGGATTAATCCGTACAAAGCAACTGGCCCAGACAACATCCCCGAAAAAGTGTTGAAGGAATGTGCCGATCAGCTCTGCGAGGTGCTGGCAGACATCTTTAACACTTCACTTACCCTGGAGACAGTTCCCACCTGCCTGAAGACTGCCACCATCATCCCAGTCCCAAAAAGCTCTACAGTGACTTGTCTGAATGACTATCGGCCAGTGGCCCTCACCCCGATAGTTGCTAAATGCTTAAAAAATTGGTCATGACTCACATCAAAATAACCATCAACATCAACGAGAACCCTCATCAGTATGCATACCGTGAGAACCGATCAACAGAGGATGCTATCTCTTCTGTGGTCCACACTGCGCTCAACCACCTGGAGCAGAAAAACTCTTACGTCCGTATGCTCTTTGTGGACTTCACATCCGCCTTCAACACCATGATACCCCAAAACCTGATGGACAAACCATCCACACTAGGACTAAGCCCCTCCATTTGCAACTGGGTACTAGACTTCTTAACAAACAGACCACAGTTAGTGAGGATCCACAACTACTCCTCCTCCACCATAACCCACAGCACTGGCTCTCCTCAGGGATGTGTGTTGAACCCCCTCCTGTTTACTCTGCTCACGTATGATTGTGCAGCTACCCATCCAGGCTGTCACATTTTAAAGTTTTTCAGATGACACAGCGGTGGTGGGATGTATCACAAACAATGATGAGTCCAGCTACAGGCAAGAGATGGAACACCTGGAGAGCTGGTGCAAAGAGAATAACCTTCACATCAATGTGAAAAAGACAAAGGAGATGATTGTGGACTTCAGAAGGAACAAAAACAACTACACCCCCCTGAACATAAAGAGGATCTGCGGTGGAAGTGGTCTCCAGCTACAAGTACTTGGGTGTACACATGAATGACAACCTCAGCTGGAGCAACAACACTACCAGCCTGATCAAGAAAGCTCATCAGAGACTCTACTTCCTCAGGCGACTGAGATGAGCTGGTCTGGGAAGCTCAGTCCTCACCTCCTTCTACAGGTGTGCAGTGGAGAACATCCTGTGCTCCAGCATCAACGTGTGGCATGGAGGCTGCACAGCTGCAGACAGAAAAGCTTTGCAGAGAGTGGTGAAGGCTGCACAGAAGACTGTCGGAGTCAGCCTCCCCACCATCACAGACATCTACACCTCCAGATGCAGGAAGAGGGCTACCTACATCATGAAGGACCTCAATCACCCAGCACACACACTTTTTGCCCCACTTCCCTCAGGAAGGAGGTTGAGGAGCATTAAGTGTAGAACCACTAGACTGAGGAACAGCTTCTACCCTGAGGCTGTTAGACTCATGAATCTCTAACTAGTATAATCACTGTGAAAAACCACATCATGTTGCTGCTGATCGGTTTCATTGTTGATGTGTTCATGCATGCACATCCGCTCACACAGACTCATGTTCATGTTTGTGCTGATGTTCAATGTTTTTATGTTATGAGTGCTTAGTGTATATTTAGTTTATGTTTTTCTTAGTTCATATCTTAGATGTTATTACTGTTTTTCTTATACATTTTATTGTTGGATGTAACTGGGACCCTGTGTACATAATTTCGCTCCACCACATGTACCACATGAGGTGCGACTGACAATAAAGAATCTCTGACTCTGATACAGCTGTTAATAAGTAAGTGTATGATGGCCTAACAGGTTAAATAATAACTCAGGGTGTCATACAGCTGTTAAACTGCTAGTCATGGTGTCATACAGCTGTTAATATTCATTCAACCTTTATTTAGACAGGTTAATCCCATTGAGCCTCGAGGACTCATTTACAAGAGAGACCTCATTTCAACAATAACAAAGTATATGATTATTTGACAGGTTAACTGCTACGTCATGGTGTGATATGGCTAATTAAATAGAAGCATATGGTGATCTCACAGCGGATAGACGCAGCCGCCAGTTTGCGCTACATGTATAGCGATCTGATGATGTATGCTGACCTAACAGCTATGGCTGTCAGTTTGTGCTATAGCCATCAGTTTGTGCTACGCGTATGGCGGCCTGACGACGTATGGTGGCCGAACAGAACACCTCTCAGGCAGCTGCGCTCACAGATATCATAAACGATAGATCCCGCATTGGCTGCAGCGGCGCAGGAAATTCGGCCACCATCTTGGAGCGGTCGTCATTTGGTTAAAGCAGAAGAGCAGATATTTCAGCACTTCGCAGCTTATTCCTGTTCAAATCGACGGACTGTTGACATCAGGTCTCGGGGAATAACTTTTCACAAGTAAGATGAACATATTATCGTTAGTATTTTGTGATTAGAATATTACTGTGCTGTATTTATGTCCACCAGCTGATGTTATGTTCAGTGTAACACGGTGTTCAGCTGCAATGAAGCTAACTGAGATCTGACGACAGGAACATTTTTCAAACAAGCGTACTCACAATTTCAGTAGCTTTGGTTAATTATCATTATCAACCGATATGCATCAGAATTGGAGTTTTGTTTAAGTTCTAGGATATAAAAAAATAAAAATAGGGAGAATATAGGAAATATAAAATAATATTTACCTCCTTTGTACAATGTTTTTGTGTAGACACAAATCTCCTGTTTTCATTTTGAAGGTTTCCCAAAGAAAAAGATGTGAGGAAGAGGTGGAAGTATGTTTGAGGAAGATTCATCTGTGCAGTGAGGATTTTAAACTGGAGGATTTTGATAAAACTGGTCAGATTGTCCCTTGTAGCTCCTTCAAACTTAGTTTGCACGTAGCGCCGAAACTTCAGAAGATGCTGATTGGCTGGAATGAAAGTTCTCCTGTGATTTCATTAGTTGAAATTTTTACCTCTTTGTAAACTTCTGTTGTTGCTACATGTGTCCGTCCTCCACTCTGCACGCATCTTTCAGCTGCTGCATACAGATAGCACAGACCGCTGTGCTCAGGCTGACAGTTTATTATAAAACGGGAGATAACCTTGTGGCCAGTTCAGCTGCGCAGCATAGATTTTCTTGTGCACAGAGAATGTGTGAGCAGTGCACAATTGCGCAGGCACATAGCTTAGAGGGAACATTGGTTACTGACCAGAAAAGAAAAATGAGCACTTCTGCTTGTGCCTGTTCCCTGCATTTGACTCAATCATTATTTTTGATGTACCAGCAATATACATACTACATACCTGTGGGAAAGTTGTTTTAAATGAAACAGGTTTGTGACACAAAGAAAATAGCGTGCCACCACCATAAAGGAATGAGCGTGAACATGTGAATTTCTCCAGTGATGGCTAAGGTTAGGACTCATGATGTAATGATTTTCTACTGATAAAGTGTAACTGATCTGCATCCTCGCTGCACCAACCTGAGGTATGATGGTGATTCTGGAGCGAAGCTCATGGAGGCCAAGTTTAGCAATGTCCACTCCATCAATGAGGATGTGTCCCTCTGCCGCCTCAATGATCCGGAACAGACCAAGAGTCAAGGAGGATTTGCCTGCACCGGTGCGTCCCACGATCCCAACCTGTCAGGAAGCAGTAGCTCAGTTACAAACCCATCTAACAACTAGGAAAAGGCAGATTATCAGTTTCCACTAAACCATCAATTTATATTTTTCTTTATAAACTACCAGAGATAATTCATTATTTTCTCTATGGTCATATGGAGCTACCTGTTTTTCCGAGCCGTCAATCCTTTGTGTTCAGTAGTTGAGGACAGAATTCCTCTAAACCTTTATGCTTGTTAACAAAAGACATCATCGGTTGGTTGCCATTTTATTCAGTGGATCATTGCTTGTCTATTATAGGAGTGGAACCCCTTTCTCTTTTTAAGGTAACTTTGTATTGAAACAAACATTTGCAACAAGTTACAAGAGTTGTTAGAAGGTGAAAATAATACTCTTACAGTGTGGGAGGCAGAGTACACCCTGGACAGGTCGCAAGTCCATCACAAGACAAACAGCCATATGTTATGTGCTCACCCTCACCTATAATGTAGTTACCATTTTTTAAAAAGTTATCAATTTCCTTATCTCATTTTTACTCATACTGTGCTTTCATTTATATACTTTTACACACTATACACTGCACTTTTTAATATTCTCACTCATACATGATAAGTATATATTTGGGCAGTGGGGAAACAGTGTCTTGCTAAAGGACACTTCAGCACACTTCTGGAGCTGGGGACAAAATCCCTGACCCTCAGATCGAAGGACAACGATTCTACCCACTGGGCCAAGCCACCAAAGCGTTGGTTACGTACTGTAACCCCAGATTCTATGAGTATAGGTGTAGCCCTTTAAGGCTGTCGCTTAGAGGGTTTTATCCCGTCATGCGAAGCATCGCACTGAAAAATTTAGTCCACGCCCACCTGCTGTGTGGGCCCCACCTGGTCCGAATAAATTACGTTAAGAGCGGGTAATCGGCTCCCAAATAGCTTTTTCTTCAGCCACTTAGGAGCCTGTGAGGCCCGACGCTTGAAGGGCTACGTCTATACTCATAGAATCTGGGGTTACAGTACGTAACCAACGTTCTATTTCGTATAGGCTTCGCCCTTTAAGGCTGTCGCTTAGTGGGTTAAGGGCAAAGCAGATGTGGTCCTCGCCTCACTGGGTCCATTCGAACACCGTATGAAGCGGAAGCTTTCCCAAAAACGTCTTGTCACTCAGCTCTCCATGTGCGTAATTACGCGTTGCGTATTTATGCGTACCATGCACAGACGCATGCTGTGTAGTCATGCGTTCTGAATGCACGAACGCCCTGGAAACGTTTCAACGGGGGGGAGAAATGCTGAAAGGAGCCATGAACCAACCGGTTCATGGCTGAACAGTATGAACAGATTAATAATAACAAGTGAGCTGATTATTAATCAAATGAACTGATTGGTAACAATAGTCATGAACTGATTAATAACAACAGAACCAAAATAACAGTCACAACTTGTGACTGATAACATCTCACACTGTAATGCATGCAGACAGATGTGAGTTAAACGGGGTTCCATGAAACAACAATATTCATTCTGTTAAAACACTAAGGACAGAATGTGTAATGGAACGAGCCGTCACATCACGTAAAAAGAAACAAATAAATGAGCAGGGTGTTGACCACGTGGCCGCAGTGCAAATATCCTGCATTGTCATACCATTATGCAAAGCAGTCGAAGATGCGATACCTCTGGTTAAATGCGCCCTGAGGTTGTCAGGAGGGTCTAAATCTGATGATCTGTAGGCTTCAGAAATGGCCTCACACAGCCAGTGTGACAGGCGCTGGGTGGATAACGGGCGACCTGCAGATGCATCTCTATAATGCACAAACAAATGTTGAGTTTGACACATTGCAGCTGTGCTATGTAACACGTCATCGCCCGCACAGGGCAGAGAAGATGGAAAGATGCTTCTTTTTCTGATTGTGTGGGGGAAGGGGAAAAACTCCTCCAACGATATCACTCTTGATTTAAAAGAGCTCGTGATGTTTTAGGCATAAAGCTGGATTCGGTCTTAGATCAGCTGAGCTGCCATCAGCCTGATTCATGACGGAGCGACAAAGAGGGCAGATAAATCACTCACCTTCTTAGCAGATGTTAAAGCCAGCAGCAGGGCTGTTTTAAGAGACAAGAATTTAATTGGAACCTGATTCAGTGGCTCAAATGGAACTTGATCAGGGCCCACAGGACAAGCGTTAAATCCCACTGTGGAGAAAGTGGGCGGAAAAACAGGCCTGCGTCTCTGTACACCTTTTAAAAACATTTCATCAGCGGATGATTAAAAGCTGTTCTGTCTCCGAACCCTTCGTGACAGGAAGAGATGGCTGCAGCATACGTTTTAATCATGCTGAACGCCAAATTTCTATCCATTAGCTGTTGCAAAAAGGACAGCACGCCGTCTAGTGGACATGAGGTGGCCTCTACACCTTTCTCTGTACGCCTTTTAAAAAACGCTTCATCAGCGGATGATTAAAGGTTGTTCTGTCTCCGAAAACTTTGTGACAGGAAGAGATGGCAGCAGCATGTTTAATCGTGCTGAACGCCAAATTTCTGTCCATCAGCTGCTGCAGAAAAGACAGCACGTCGCCTAGTGGACATGAGGTGGCCTCTACACCTTCTCTGTACACCTTTTACAAAACGCTCTATCAGCGGATGATTAAAGGCTGTTCTGTCTCTGAAAACTTTGTGACAGGAAGAGATGGCTGCAGCATACGTTTAATCGTGCTGAACACCAAATTTCTGGCCATCAGCTGCTGCAGAAAAGACAGCACGTCGCCTAGTGGACATGAGGTGGCCTCTACACCTTCTCTGTACACCTTTTACAAAACGCTCTATCAGCGGATGATTAAAGGCTGTTCTGTCTCTGAAAACTTTGTGACAGGAAGAGATGGCTGCAGCATACGTTAATCATGCTGAATGACAAATTTCTGTCCATCAGCTGTTGCAGAAAAAAGACAGCACGTTGCCTAGTGGACATGAGGTAAATGGTAAATGGACTGTACTTATATAGCGCCTTTCTATCTTATTTCAAGATACTCAAAGTGCTTTCCACTACAATCTGTGTCCTCATTTACTCATTCATACAGCACACTACTAGATCTCTACAAAGCTAATTGAACAAATCATTATAAAGAGACTAATCAGTGATTTATCACATTCATACACTGATGGGACACACATCAGAGGCATTGAGGGGTTCAGTGTCTTGCCCAGGGACACTTCGACATGTGACTGCTGGTGGATTCAAACCCCCAACTCTCGCATTAGAGGAAGACTGCTATAACCACTCAGCCACAGCCGCCCCTACATGGGAGGTGGCCTTTACATCTTGTGGGAGACCATCCTCTCTAAGCGGATCCGCTCAGCGGCCAGAACCACAGGTGCTGGTCTATTTCTGGGTAACTCCTGATCGCTCCTCCCGCCTGGAGGAGAGCATCCTCCCTCCACGGCAGTTTCTACGGGCGCCCCGATTACAGGCGTCGTAGAACCAGAACCATGGTGCATTTGCACGCTCAGGTGCCACCAGGAGAACTGTCAATCCCTCCTCCTGAACTCGGTTCAGAAACCGTAATATCAGAGGAGGTGGGGGGAACGCGTAAAGAAGCATTTTGGGCCATGGGCTATGAGCAAACACGTCCACCCCCCAGCGGTGGTTCGTCTCGCGGGCTCAGTTAAGCCCAAAGTTGACACTGAGCGTTTCCTCATGTCGCAAACAGGTCTACGGCCGCTTTGCCAAATTTCTGCCACGTCTGGGCCATCTGACCAAAGTGGAGGGTCCACTCCCCATGACGCGGACCGCCCCCTGGACATCACATCTGTCTCTTGTACAGAATGTACACTGATGCACACTGCTCTGATGGAGAGCAGATTTTGGTGTGCCCAACACAGTACTTTTCTCGTAATGTGTAACATTTGGGCTGAGCGCACACCCCCCTGACAGTTTATGTAAGCAGCAGTAACCTTGTTGTCTGTGTGAATCAAAACATGTTGATTCTGTAGCACAGGAGCAAAGTGTTAAATCACATTCAGAACCATGCAACATTCCAGAATGTTTATATGAGCCGTTATGAGAAAGGCCACTGCGCCCCTACAGCTCAAGATAGGCATGTCACCCCCCAACCTGACACCGGTGCATCTGTGAAGACTGACACGTGACGTAGGTCTGCTGACGGGGGGCTCCCTCCGACAGAACCAGGGGGTTTCCCTGTGTCGGAGGTCTGCTCTCAAGGAGGAAGGAACAGTGATCGTCCGTCTATTTTTGCCTCACCAGATCCATGTGCTGATGAGCAAACCATCTCTGGAGACATCTCATGTGTGGTAAACCCAGTGGGCCACTGTGTGAGCTGACGATATTGTTCTTAACAGCTTTATGATGGAAAATATCTGTTATTACTCTGCCCGGTCTTATGTGGTGGAGCTGGACTTTTAGAGAGTCTATTCTCGTCTGTGATAAACGAATAAACGAGTTTAGCCCCACTCCCAGATAAAAATCGTCTGGGCCGGGAGAATCGAACTTTTCCAATTTATGGCGAAGCCCAGAATTAGCAGGTGTGACGTCAACACCTGAGCCTGTGCTGACATGTGAAGTGGTCTGCCCACGATCGCCTTGTTGAAAAACTGACAGGTCCACATCGGTCTTGTTCCTCCCGTCCGTTTGGAACCAGGAAGTAAACTGAGTAAAAACCCGTGTTTTCCTCTCTGTCGGGAACCCCTGGACTTTTGCCTTTAGGGATGAGACCTGGTCTGGTGATGACAGGACCGTCTCTAAAAACTCCTCTGAATGAAGGGGGTCGGGCTGCAAGTTGTAACATGTAACCCTTGCTATCAGCTTTGGCCATCAATGTCTGGCGAGCAAGCTCGCAGCCACTCCGCGTAACATCCGTGGAGTGGGCGCGCGTTTAGGTGGTGTGTCATGTTTTTATGGATGTCAGTCAATCCACCGCCTCAACCGCTGTCATGAGCCGCGGGAGTGTGTTCCGCGTGACCCACAGGTGAGGCTTCCTTGAAGGGGCTCTGAGCACGTCTGTGTGCTGCGCT